TATTTCATTAGCCTTCAGCTAGTTGTTTAATGTCCAAGTCGTTCACTATACTTGTCAATTTTACATTAATGGCAAACCATTCTCATTCAATTCGGCATTATCCTTTACATTTAGTTACATTCATTCACATGAATGTTTTGAAAGGCGAAGCTGAGGAACGCATTGAGGCCCAGAACGCATTGAGGCAGCATCAGGGGGAGGCGGGGCACCCCTCAAGGCATTCAATCTTATGCTCAACACCAAACTAGGCGTATGCACCTTGGCCAAGGCGTCACCTAAGATACGCATTTGCAACTTTGACCTCAATGGTCGAGGTGCAAGCCTCATGAGAGTATTGAAGTATAAATTACAAAAAAAGAAAAGAAAAAGAAATATGGAAAAATAAGAGGCATCTCAAAAATAAGGAGGCAAACGTAGGGTTTTGATTCAACAATTCATTGGCTTCGGTCTATGAAGACATTTCAAGCTTTGATTCTTCTTTTTCACCTTCAGTTTTGTTGCTTCTCAAGTCAGATGTGCAGATTTGCACAACCCAATACGTAACCCTCTTTGTTTCTCTCAATCTCTCTACCTACGTCTCTCAATTCTCTCTCTCTCTCAATACTCGATTCTGCCGCTCGATTTTCTCTCTTGTAATATGTAATTTTGTGGGTGGCCTCTTTGTTCTTTTTTCAAATAGACACAAAATATATCTGTACACCAATATATACAAATGTTTTTAGTAATGATACATATAGTGGGTGTTTGGAAAGTGCTATTTTAGTAGGCTATTTTAATTTTGGCTATTTAGTAGGCTAAAATTTTTGTGATTTGAGAAGATGATTGGATTTTTTTGTAGTTAGATGTGATATTTGTAAGAGAAAAGTGAAATGATTATGAATTTATGTGCATTTTGTTAGTTATTTTAGCTTCTATTTTTTTTTTTTTTGTAAATTTTAGCCTAAAAGACACTAAGGCTGTGTTTGGTTTAAGTTTTCCAAATTTGATTTCCAAGTCACATTTTTGAAAACTCAATTGAAAACTTGTTTGGCAGCACAGTGAGTTTTTTGAATTTTGAATTTTAAAAAGAGCGATTTTGGTCTACCTAGTCGGCCTCTCGGACATCACCCCAGATGTTCTGGTCGGTCGTCGGCCCAGTTTGATCGGAACAAATTTTTTTTTTTTGCAAATGGCACCTATTATTTTGGAAGAAAAAAAAAAAAAAACAAAAAAGAAAAAGGAATTTGTTTTTTATTTTTTTTAACAAAAAAATATATTTTTTATATTTTAAATCAAAAATTTTTAAAAATAGATTCGAACCAAGTATACAATAAAAGTTATTTTAAATCAGTAATTGAATATTTATTTTGAAAAAAAAATATTTCTTTTGTAATATTTTCAATTAAAAAATTTGATTAATGTTAGTTTTTGTTAATAATTAATTTTTTTAATTGAATTTTAAAAAGAGTTTGGTTATGAATGTTGATCAGAATTTTAAAAAGAGTTTGGTTATGAATGTTGATCAGAATTAATAATTCATTTTTTTAGTAGTTGTTTGGTTATGAACTATGAAGCATGGGTACTTCGAAAAACATGCCGTACCCGTATGGGTACTTACGGCTATGGTACCTCGTATGGTACTTCTGCATACGTATCGGGTACACGAAACACGTACCCAAGTTTTTTCTTCTTAATTTTTGACGTACCCAAACGTACCTACTATATACCCAATCGTACCGTACCTCAGTTGAAACAATATTTCTTCTCTCTATAGAGATAAAACCCCTTTAACTAGACTTCTTTTTTTTTTTTTATACTTAGCATGTTTTTAAAATTAAACTATGTTTGTAAAATATATTGACATTTAATTTTGATTTATACCTTTACTTTTGACATTAAATGTTAATTATAGGTTGATCTTAACAAATTAAACCATTTAATTAATTTTACATTTTATAAATTAAAAATAAATATTTTTTTACAAGCGTACCAAGCCGTACCCGTACCTTACTTTTTTTTAATTTTACCATATGACGTACCCATATCGTATCAGTACCAGTACTCGTACCCGTACCCGTACCCGTGCTTCATAGGTTATGGAATTATAACAATTTGAATTAAGTTTTGAAATTATTTTTTCAAACTCATAACCAAACAAATTTTCTTATTTCATATGTCACATCAAACATTCAAAATTCAATTCAACACTCAATCAAAACTCAATTCAAAACTTTTTTCAAAACTCATAACTAAACAGATTTTCTACATTCATTTATAATTCCAAAACTCAAAAATTCAAAATACAACTCTATTCTCAAATCAATTTAGAAAAATCTACCAAACGCTACCTAAAATTTTTCTTGCCAAACACCCCAACAGTGGGTGAAGAAGAAAGTTTGTGGGTGTATTTAAAAGCTCCCTTTGTTGCTTGGAATAACTTTTATGAATTTTAGTAGTTATTATTATTTTTTAAACTCCTTTTTATACCTTTTTTTAAATAAATCCTTTTAAACTATTTAATTAATTATATTTTATGAAAATTTAAAAACTCAAAAATCAAAAAGCTTAGTTACGCCCCAATGCCTTGAGGCTTAAGCCTCGCCCTGTGAGGAGTATAACGCCTTGCCTCTGGCACTTTCGCCTTAAAAACTTTAATTCACACCAAAGAAATTATGAAGCCCTCTTCATTGAAGTAGGAAAAAGAATCAGGTAGTTTTTTGCCCTAAAAGCTACACACAAGAGCTTGGTAGGGGTTATATTTTGGACTACATTTTCAGTCCTAGCATGCGCATAACTGCATTTGCCCAAGTTTGTTTTAGAGAAGAAACAACATGCTACAATTGCAAGGTATTACTCATGCTAATACAATTTTGCAACTACTCTTTTTCTTGTATTTCATTTCCTTTTCCTTTATATTAATTAGAGGCTAAATGATGGTTCCAAATTAATTATTAAAAAGCTTGATTAATAATTCATTGGAAATGGCTATAACTAGAATTTTTGGTGTTATCCCCGCTCCTTATCGTCTTAATACTTTTCAGCAATAAATTTCTTTAGAGTGTTCAAACATTACAATTAAAATATTCTCTTCTCTCATCACCCTGTTACCCAAACTGTTCATATAACAGACTAGTAAAACTTAATTCTAATCCTAAACCATGTTCATGCCCTAATTTTTTATTTTTTTTATTTTTTTCTGATAAGTAAACAAACTTAGCTCAAGGTGATGCAAAGAATACAAGAAAGAAACCAACCCAAATGGACTGCAAGAACACACTATCTAAGCAAATCCTCCACAAAATGTACAAAAGCAACACGTCAGTCAATCGAACTGGTACCCAACTATGGAATACCATAAGAAGCCTACTCTCTAACCAAAAAAGGAATGACCCATATTTTGAAACACACACCTATTACGCTCCAACTAAACCAACCATAACAAACAATGAGAAGCAAGTAACCAAGCCTTCCGCCGCCTCTTACCCACCCTCGCTCCGCCCCAACTAAGCAAGACATCCAACACTGATCCCGGTTGCACCCAAACCAACCCAAAAAGAGCAACCACCCTACACCAAAGCCGTGACACCACGGGTAGTGCACAAGCAAATGATCAACCGTTTCCGCATCGCTACAACACAAACAACACCGATTGACCAACACGTGCCTCCGCCGTGATCAAATTATCAATGGTAAGGATACAGCCCAAAACAGCGTCCAAACAAAGAAAACTACCTTGGAAGGAGAACCTATTGCCCAAATACATTTCCACGGAAACACACCACCAACACCCCAGCAAGCGCCCATAAAAAGAGGACACTGAGAAAACACCTTGAGAACTCTAGACATCCCATACCATAGAATCCATCCCATCCCCTCCCTGCTGCAACCCATACAAAAAACCTAGGAGATCCACCAATTGGTCTAGCTCCCAATCTTGTACAGCACGACGAAAACGAACATTCCAAACAACGGATTGCCCTTGCGTCTCCCTAACCGAAGCAACCACCTCCTCCCCACAGCGGCAAGAAAATAAATCAAAGGGAACGTGGCTGCCACAGTTAAGCCATCACACCCCGGTCTTGCCAGAAGCAAACTCGATCACCAACACCCATGGTAAACCGAATCCTCTCCCAAAAGATGTCCCTCCCCAACCAAATCCCCTTCCACAAACCACGACCATGTGGTTGAACCACCCTCTTCGAACACCAACTCCCCCCTTTCCTCCCCATACTTAGCCACCACCACCCTCCTC